ACATATAAATGTCATGATTTTGTTAAATGGACATTTAAATGGAGCACGGGGTGAACTGAAGTTCAACAACAGACCATAAGAGAAATTGCAATAGAGAGGTTTATTATTCACGGGTCCTGGGAAAAGTCCAGGGCAAGCCTTGAGGGGCCACATGGGGAGGTCAAGTCAGGGTGCAGAGAGAGACAGGACCTGGGGCACATGCCTTTATTAGGGTCTGTGAGTGGAGTGCTTTGGGGTTCTTGGGCTAAAGTCAGATTGGTCAATTCAAACCAAAAGAGCAGGGTTTCGGTAAGCCCAGTGGGGGTCTTATCTAAGGGGTGCATAAGACATTGAGGTGCTGGGAGGCAGGGCAGGCTATTGATCACAAGGGCTGTTGGGGAAGTCCTATCAGGGACTCACATTTACTTGTGACCTTGTGGGCTCTATACAAGGCATGCACCTGCATGGGGCTAGCGTCAGTTAGTTTAAGGTTTCTGCAGGCCACTTAGCCAAAAATGGATGTCAAGGTAGCAATACCATGGAGTAGCTTAGCTAAATTTTTGACAAAGTAAAATACACACACACACACACACACACACACACACACACACACACACACCAGGGGTGCCCAAAAAATGTATGCAAATGGACACTTTGGTTAACGTTGCTCAAGCAGTAGTTCGCCATAATCAGAAGTGTCTGGATGCTGATGGTAACCACTTTGAGCAGCTCTTGTAATTGCAGAAGTCAAATGTGACTTGTATTCATCTTTTGGTAACAGTATACATTGAGTATTACAAATTTAATACAGTTATTTCCTTTCTTAAAATGTGTATACATTTTTGGCACTATATAAATATTAGATATAATAGATACTATAGATATAAATGTGCATCATATATATATATATATATATATATATATATATCATATAAATAAAACATGCTTGCTCAGTAATCATAGAGATTATTGGAATTTGTGGAGGCTTTCTTGAAACTATAAGACGATGTAAGCCCTGAAATCAGTCTTGTCCAGGAAGGTGTGTCTTATCACCAACACAAGCTGAGTAGCACTTACAGAAAAGGGCATTTACACTGTACTCTTAATACTTATCTTTATTATGAAAGTGTTTCCAAAGTAAAATGATCCTCATAATTACAACTGCTTCCAGAAATCAAGGATGAATAATTATAGTTTCATATAAAAATCAGCAAAACACAACAACAGTACTTAAAATAATTCTAATTGGCTAACAGTACATCATTCCATTTCTGACAGAGATGCTCAAGCACTGAATCGTCTCAAGAAAAAAGTAAGGTTTTGTTACCTATCCTATTTCTCACTGCAAACTGAAAAAAATCAAATCCCAAAACTAACCACCTCCCCGTTCCATGACAACAAATGGCTATGGAGGTAACTGATTATGTGGGCAAACAAAAAGTTGATGAAAATCATGAATGCAGAGGCTTTATGAAACTTTTGGAAATTAAACTTGGACGGTGTTTTCTATGTTTAAATTAATGAAGCTCTAAGTTAAAGTTCGAGAATCACCACATAACTGTTCCTATGACAGACCTAATTTTTCTTTGGCAACTAATCTTTTAACACCCCTAATTTTTTAAGGGCAGTTTTACAATGACAGTTAAAAAAAATTACTGTAGATCCCAAAGAAAAAAATTATCTCTATAAAATCTATTCATTTCACTTAACATAGAAATCATACCAACAGCAACTGTTAGTCCCTGGTTTCTAGGCCATGCAACATACACCAATAAAGGAAGTCAAGCTTTCATGGACCTGTGTTAAGGATAACAGCCTTACAAGGACACAATATTTTTTAAGAAAAATGGCATCAGGTAGAGAAGGAAGTGTGGGTACACACTGATCCAAAGGCTATTGGGAAATTGATAGCAGAAAAGTGACAATATTCTGGCTTCTTTTTATCAAGAGTTCCAGGAGGCTGAAAGGAATGTGAGTGAATAAGACAAAACAAAACAGCTTTTAGGCTAGTGGTCCCCTCCCATCACTTCCTGGGCAATCTTGAGAATGCCTGGTCTTGTGGAGACATGATATGATACACCATCTGGCTGCAGACATTTTATTTCTTTGATCTGACGGGGTCTTAGCATGTGACCTTTTGGTAATGCATTCCTTTCAAAGGCTTCAGGTTGAATTCAAGCTGGAAATACCTGGAAAATGCTAAGGTTCTCCTTTGGGAGTCTGCAGATCTTAATAAATTACTTATAATGTTTATGCTCTTTCATACAATTTACTCCAAGAAAGCCAGCATCAGGTATGCTCCCTCTGAGCACTTATTAGAGGAGTTCCAACAACATAGAGGGGGTAAATGGACATGCCTCTTCAGCATCTACTGAGCGCCCCCTAGGGGAGGGGAGGAGACCCTGCACACAACGGCAAATCACAGGGCTCTTTTCTGGCCTACGAAGAACAAAAATGCAGACACAGTGAACCAGTGCTAATTACTATTTGGTAATTTGAGAATGGCACAGTATTATTTTTACCAAGAGAAACTTAAATTAACTCTGGGGACAGCAATAGCTTCATTAAAAAATAATATCTTGCTGCATTTTGCATGACTTCAAGAATTACTTATGATTATTGAGAGTATTCTTCCACGGACAGCATGCTAGACAGCAAATGAAAGCACAAGAACTAACTGCATTTTCTCTTTCCATATAAGTTACCTAGAAACCAAAAGTGCCTTGTCATCACTTTCTCATCAGGCTGATTTTTTTCTTATTTGAATGTTAGAAATATTTCAGAGCTACTAATATTTATCTATAAGGCAGGAATTAGCCAAAGACAAAGAAAAAAAAATAAGCTAATTGGAATCTTAAGACCTCAAATAGCACATGAAATGTAAACATATAACCTTTTATTTCCGAAGGATTTATTGAAGCCTCCCTGGACATCACAACATCAGCACGCATACTGATGAACAGAATCGTGTAACACCTTTGGAATTATTCTGTATACTTTTTATACTTCAAATTAAGGAAAAGCACTCAAATATTGAAGCAACTTTGGCATTAACATTTCCAAGAAAGAGATAAAATAACTATCATTACAAAATCATGAACAGATTGGGAACAATCATGGGTGTCCATAAAATTTATTGTGAAGAGCTCTTTTTCAAAGACTCAGATTCGCTGAAGTAAAATTTGATTTTTGACTTCAGCCCAAATAACAATGCCAAAATACACAAAGTGGAAGATTCAGATTCTAAGGGGAAAGCATTCAATTTGCTCAAATTCTAACTCTATCATATGCTCAGAATGGAAAGTTTGGCAATGGAACTGGTCATTTTGAGGTTTACCCTCCATTTTGGCTATATATGGTCTAAACTTATCTCACTAAGGAGTTATTTCTCTCCCTCAGCTGCTTGCTTTCTTGGAGAACCTGCCTTTCTTCCTAGTTCATCTGTGTCAGGTGCCTGAGTCATTATCTGATAGGACCTCAGGGCACCACTGTCTCGCAGCCTAGCAGCCAGGCCCTAGCAGGAGTTCGATGTTAATAAAATCCTGGGGTGAAGCAGCAATCGTGCATTTTTTCCAACATATAGTTCAATAATCCAAAATTCTGATAGTTACTTCCCTATTCTGAATGGTCATATGACTCAACTTAGAAATGAGAACTGTATTTGGCTTACATGCTGGCCTTAGGCTCTCTATGATCTGGACTCTGCCGTATTTAGCTTCAAGGCTAAGAGGCTGAAAAAATTCTACCACTCTCAGCTGTGTGGGCAGCATGAACAGGAAGTTGAGAGAGAGGCGGGAAGTTTCTATGGTACATAGTGGATGGTTTTAATGAAAAGACTGTGGGTAAGGATGAGTCAATGGTCTTTTGGTTTTATCACGTTTTTGGAGAAACGTACATTATACATATATAGGTCACACATGTTTATATCATTTATTGACCCAAGGCCAAATTCTACTTGATTTTCTACTTTTTCCCCACTAAGAGATCTAGAAAAGCTATAACATTAAAGAATGAAATATTACTTTTTTCTAGATTCCTTCCTACATACCCCTTTGCACGCTGGGAAACTTTGAATGTGACCAGGAGGAAGGAGATCTCAACACAGGCTAAGTTAATTACTGGGAAACAATACTCTCACTAACGTACAGCTGAAATTACAAAATACACTTCCAAAGCTATGGCCCAGGGCACAGGTAGAAGATAAGATACCTCACATAGTTTTCTTTCAGCCTTATCAGGCCACCATGGGAGAGCAGTAGACAGAGATATATTAGTCTTCACCTTAAAAGGCCTACAAACACCATTTCGATTAATCAAAAAGCACTCTTTGCCCTAAAATGTAGAAGGAAAGAAAAATCTGTAGATTCATTGAGGACTGTATTAAATGAATGCCATCAGCTGGAGAGGCTCTAAGTATCCCCAGTCCTCCTTCTAAGTGACTTTTGGTAAAAACGAAAGATTATTTAGGTTTGTCTTTGCTAAGGACAGACTCAATTTACTTCATTTTATGCAACTCTTCTGATCCTTTCATTTATAAGCTGGTCTTTTGAAATGATTCTTCTGTGCTAACGAGTGTCAAGTGATGCAAATGTGAACCCGTCCAGATGCTGAAGCAAGGTAGAGTTCACTCTTCTTTCCATGTTTTAGTTGACAAGAAAAGAAATTCACCTTCTCAAAGTTTTCTAGCTATCACATGCTTGCTGTTGCTTTTTACCTATCTGCGTCTTAGCAGATGTTCAGATGACTAACAAGAATTTTTGATGTTTTATGATTGGTCTCACAAACTCAAACCATCTACAAATTACATCCCTAGACATAGCCTCATTTTGTGAAATAAAATAAGGCTTTACATGAAGAATTAGTTGCGTTGTTTTCTCAATAAACAAGCAAACATATTTCCGCCTCTTCAATTATTACTATGGACCATACCAGAAACATACTATTCTGTAACTAGAGGGGGAAAGATTTAATATTACAGTGTAAGGTTTTTGTTTGGGAGCATTTTTTTAACTATCATCTTACAGGTTACAATTGTGAGCACAAAACTTTAACTTTTTTCAAAAAATTGAAGTGAATGTAAATGGCTGTGAGCAGAACACCCACTCTCTGGTATTTTGCTATTCTCTTCATTAGGCCTTGAATCACATATTTATATTACTGATTGTGGTTTTTATCTCTTGTGTTAGATGATTTTTTTTTATTTATAAGTATTTGTAATACCTTTTTATTGTGTTTCTAGAAGTTGGAAGAAAAGAGATAAAATCTTTGGTTTATGTATGTGGGTTTCTAAACTATACACAAATAACACTGCCATGTAGGTGATGATGGAAACTTATTTTTCAGTAATCTTTCTCACAATTGCCACTATCCAGTCAAATTTTTGTTTTTCTGGCAATAGCCCTGTTTGGATTAAAATTCCTGTAAACTGAACAAATTTTCAAAGAAGCAAACAAAAGAACTCATTTTGGGATAACAGGAACGTCATTCTAAGTATGTTTAGGGAGAAAAGACAAAAGGTAAAATGGTCTTTTTTCCATTGGCTTTATTTTGCTCAGAAAAATAAAAACTAGATAGGGCACTTTCTTGAAAGCTGGTGCAATAAAGGGCATTGCACTAGAGGGGACCTTTGTCAATTCCTGAAACTTTTTCTGTCGGAAAATATACGTAGCTTCTGTTTGTTTGGTTTTTCATGACATGACAGAAGACGGCATTAATTACAGGGAAAGTGGTAAAATCTGGTTGCAATCAGCTGCTCTCTTTATGTTATTCTCAGATCACGGGACAAACTCTCGACAGTAACAGTGATTTCTTTGTAACTGTGACCTTAAACAAATGTCTTCCTTCAGAGCACTGACCTCATAATAGAGAACAAAAAGATCTCTGTCACCTACCAGGTTAACCCCCAACTAGCTACTGCACTCACTGAAGAAATCTTAGCTGTCTGCACAAGAAATGAAGTCTAGTCCAAAGAAATTTAATACAAAACAATATTTAAAAAGCCCTCCAATAACTATACTCTTTAATTTGAACTGCTAATTGACCATAAAGGGGGACGAAAACCCAAGCTCGTCCTGTTTAAACTACATACTGGGAGAATGGTCACTGAGATTACAGGCAACTTCAAAATGGGCACTGATACAAAGAAAGCAAACCTATCTGGAGCGGTGTAAGAATCTTACACGGGGTTTTGCTTGCTCTAAAAAACAAATTCAGCTGATGCACCTGGCAGCCTGGGTCACAGCAGTAGAAAGCGGCAGAAGCGGATGCAGCACCTCCGTCCCTGTCATGAACCCAGAGAGTAAAAGGAGTGAGGAAACCCTCTTTTGTCCACAGATTTACAAACAAATACAAAAAATAAATAATATCCTAAGACAATACAAATGCAAAACTGTTCCCTTGTTGTCAATTACATACAGCATGCCTACATATAGAGAATGATAATTCTTCATTCACAGACGGATATGGCAGTGCACTATTCAAAAATGCTTTGATAATCCTAATTTTTGTTCCTGGTGCTGAGATATCATGAAAGGAACTGCATTTGCAACTTATTAAATACTTCCAGGAACAAATAGTTCACTTTGTTCGGGACTTATAGTTTTGAGGAATTAATCATCCGCGGAGCAAGGGCCGGTCAGGAGATACCCATTGGTACCACTGGTGCCATTGGTGGTAGTTGCAGTGTGGGAGCTCTTCCCCGAATGTTCCGAGTCCTCCTCATCTGAGCTAGACTCAATATCGCTTCGATCATCCTTGGACACCTGTGGGATACAAGAAGGTGAGTATCGCCAGCTCCTAAGGAATCATTAAGGTATGGCATGCTCAGAATCACATGCAATCATACACGAGGGAAACAGATGTAAGTAGTAAAAAAATCAAAGCGGATAGGAACTTTGCCATAGTAATAAGTTCCCCTTTACTGGAGATACACAATTTGTGTGCAAAGGCAAATATCAAGAAATGTAAGTGGATTTAGGTATCACAGGGCGCTAGGCTTGCTGACCTCTTTAAGGTACCTTTCTATATTGAGAATGGAGTAACTAGATCATAAATCTCAATTTTTACTGGCCAAGTGGCATCATACTGTACTACTGGGATGGCATTATAGGAATTTGGTACAAATCAATCGATTTATACTCTGATGATCACATTCTCCTTGAGAATCAAAGTCAGCTCTCAATTAACTATACTAATGGAGATATTCAGTAACTCTGATCATCAAAACATCATTCATTTGGGTTTTGCAATGCACTGTTCCATGATTTAATTTGTTTTTGTTTGTTTTTTTTTAATTGGGGGAGGGGAACAGTGTTGGGGAATTGGGTAGGGGGACCAGCCAAATTGTTGTTCTTCAATCTTAGTTGTGGAGGGTGCCAGTCGCCATCTGGCTGCCCATCGGCAGCTAGTGGCCTCTAAGCTCAAGGTGCTGTGTTACAACCTTAGTTGCGGGTGGGTGTAGCCACCATCCCATGCGGGAGTCGAACCAGCAGCCTTGTTGTTGTAGCCCACCATGAAACAGGCAGTCTTGTTGTGAGGAGCACATGCTCTCACCAGCTGAGTCATCCTGCCACCTTTTGGCAGTTCAGCGGCAGCTCAGCTTGGGCGCAGTTTCACTGGCCCATGTGGGAATCGAACCGGTGGCTCTGTTGCTCAGCGTTCGTGCTCTTAAGCCAACTCAAAACCAACTGAACCACTCGGCTGGCCCCTAATTTGTTTTTTTTAATGTCTTCTAGAATTAAGTAAAATTTTTATTTTATATGCTACCTAATAATGCAGTAGGAGGAGACTTTTTGGGAACCTGCTGGGTGAGGTTTAATTTAAAATATTTCCCAAGGAAAATCTACCGACTGGACCATCATGAATTGGCTCCCATCATTCCAGGGTTCTTCAGTTCATTAATTAACGAGGATGGTAACATACAGCACCAGGATATAAATCTATACATTACCATAAAGAATGAAAAAAATCATATTGTCTAGCAAGGAAATAATTTAGGGAGAAATTAAGGAAATACTCTACTGCTTTTAATGTTAAAATAGTTTGAACATTTTACTCTGTAAGTCTAAATTATGGTAAGCATTTTTACCCAACAGGCCTTAAGACCTTTGAGTAATTGAGCACGGTTTACTTACTTTCTAAATGGGGTGGAAATAGGGAGCTGGTGGCATAGAAATTTTTCCAATATAGTCACCTGTGAGTGACCAGAGGTGGGATGGGGAGGTTGACAAAGTCTCTTGGGAGGTGTATTAACTGGTATAGATAATCCCCCCTCAGAATTAACTGGGGGATTTTTCACATCCCATTCTTTCTGTGCCACCACTACTCTCCAGCTTGAGAACCCTGGAATCCACTGTCCTTCCAAGTGGACAAACCACCATTACTGAGAAAATGTCATCTCTGTTAAGTGGGTGGGGACAAGAGAAAGTGAGAGCTGAGAATTACTGCTCCATTCTAACCAGAGATGACAGAAGAAATACCATAAAGATGGACCTCACTCCAGTGTCCCTTGAGATGAGGCTGAACTCACATGGACCATCAGAAAGAAGATCTGGATACTCAAACACCAGAATGACTAGATTATAAGGATAGTTTAACTTAAAAAAAAAAAAACCCAAAAAACAAAAAACCACCATGGGTCACAAAGACAGTGTTATATCAGGGCTCTACTATCCTTAGAAACCCATTAGTTATAAATTAAGCTGCTAATAGGAAAAGAAACTCTGGTTTCAGAGAGTGATTAATTTACATTTCAATGCTTAGTAAGATTATTTTTATATGCATTTGGAAAAAAATTCTACAGTTATGTTACCTTCAAAGAAAGGAACAATTTAGTGTCTCAAAATAACCCACAGGAAAATAGAATCCATAACCCATGGCCAAGATAAGTGTTATTGTCCTAGGTGACCAGCCATGGCAGTTAAAATATTCGGAAGCCTGAGATCTGGAATAAATTAATGATCATCTCTTCATAAAGTTGAAGGAATAAATTGGAGAGGAGACAATATGTCTGGTGGAAACAGCAATATCGTAAGGACATAAGTAATCTAACCCATGACATCCTCACATTTTCAGTTATTGTTATCCTACCAACAGTATTGTGCATGTAGATTTAATGTGTATCCAGATGAAAACAGAAGCATATTTTAAATACAAATACATGCTCACTTCAAAGACTAAGAGGTCACAGAGGAACAAAAAGAAACTTTTGCTTCTGAACAATTAATTGCTGAAAATATTTTGGATTTACATAAGCTCTGACAGTGAGAATTGGCTTCATAGTACATGACTAGGTGTCCCAACCTCCTCTGTGGAAGGGGTCAACTCTGTTTACTTCCATGAGGACACGGAGGTCAGGTGCTACCCTGTAGTCCAGGACACACCAGGCAAAGTTGGTGTACAGGTCTCCATTCTGGACTGTGTCGATCCTTTCCCTAACTTAGTTCTCTTTTTACTACTTCACTTTGGTCTAGTTCTGGTTTTAGCCAACGTTAAACACCAATGAAAAAAAATTCCTCTCCTTCTCTGTTGGATCATGCAAAATTTAGCAGCGCAAGCTCACACAAAAGGGCGTTAACTGAGCTGTTCCTAGTACTCCTTTGCAGCTAGTGAGAGCCACAACTCAGTTAGAGCCTCCGTCAGTGCCAACAGATTAGACAGAGCAATACACATGGAAACAAGCATCTGAGTGCCCCTCCAACAGGCTAATGTGGCACCTAGGACAATGGATAGCGAGAGAGTTGTAAGGAACTTACATGTAAAGGGTTCCACTTCCCAGCCTTCCAGGGTGGCAGAAGGAAGAGAACAAACAATGAAAGTAAGAAAAAGTCACAGAGAATGTTCTGGAAAAGTCACTGCTCTACACAGAGGGGTTGGGACTCAAGAAGCTTTATTCAAACCAGCCTCATGAGTATGTTTTTTAGCCTAAAAGATTCAGCTAAATTTTATTGAAAAAAGCATAAATGGGCATACTGGCATCAAGCAAACCTTCTCATAAAAGGGAAGAAGTTATTAAATTTCTGTTCAGTATAACCAGAGAAGGATCAAAGGAGACAGAGAGAAGGAGAGAAAGGACACAACAAATTATGAATCATACCATTAAATCTAAAATTATAAATGCAGATAGCTGGGAATAATCATCAGAAAGCAATGCTACAACTTAAAAAATGAACTAAATAGAAGAAAATAAAATTTGATTTGTGTTTTCAGGAGGTCATGCTAAATTTTGGAAAAAAATATCATTTTTAATGAAATATGAAATAATAATGTTCTTGTTGATTCAGTGGAACCACCAAAAATCATAATTTTCTGGGACATATTGGAAAGGGTAAATTTCATCTTACCTTGCCTTTTGAAATAGCTTTGCAAGCTATTTTTACAATCAAGTAAGACCAGAAGCAGTTCAAGCCTTGTATTAGCAACAGCAGTAGGTTGAAAACCCACCAAGAAGGGTAAGGTCCAACGATCTCCCAACTTTCAAATAACGTGGTATTTAACACCCTAAGGAAAAGGAGAAAGGCATCATTGAACACAACTTTTCACTTTGCTTTAAAAGGAACTCTAGTAACTGCACAGAAGCAGAAAATCAACAATATCCACTAACTACTCACTTTCCTCAAGGCTGACCAGGTATTTCGAAGGGTCATCGCCTGAACTACTCCCCTGGTGACAAACATTCATTTTGATTCTAGCTTGAATAGTATACTTATGCTCCCCCTTTACTTTTGTCATCATTTCTTCCATTACTTTCCATTAAGTTTTTGGTTGTGATTCTACCTCTACTTGCTAGAAGGCTTTTGAAGTTGCTTTTGGTTTTTAAATAAGCGATGAATACCACTCAATAACATTACATTGGGGGAAAAAAAAAAGATTAATCAGTTCCAGAAACACTAGTTAAGTTTAAACCATATGCCTAGCACAGTGGGAGAGCTAGAACATACTTAAGACCTAGTTCCTGTCCTCAACCAGTTTAGAGTCTAGTAGGGGAAGCCCTAGAGGGCCCTTAATTTTGTAAGTCTTCCATTGGGAAAGAATTGACAATTGAAAGATATCATTTTGAATGGTACCTTGATATGAGTGCTGGAAGGATTTTAAAACATTAGACTATAATGAATGTACTTAGTTTTAAGAGCATGTACTTGAGGTAGGCAAAAGTATTTGAAGTAATTGGTTCTGTCTGTAATTCACCCTTAGGACCCAAGTGGAGCAGCTACCTGGGCAGGTACATGAGGGCTGGTTTCAGTGCCTGGCTCTCATCCCTGCTGTGTCTGCTCCTAAGCCTTTGGTAGTTGACTCATGCCGTCTGGACTCATATTGCTGCCACAGAGAAGCACGATACCACAGGATTTTGGAATCACTCTTACTTCCTGGCTTTCCTCCTTATGACGTAAGGGTGTTGACAAAACTCATCTAAGTGTATTTCCACCATCTGACACTGCAGTGCTTTGCTGGGACCCTACAGGAGAGTTAGGTGGGCAACACTTAGTGGCCAAAGGGGAGGGATGGAAAACTCTTGGAAAAATTTGAGACACAAACCACCAATACAAGAACAGAAGAGTATAATGAGTGCTTTGAGAGACGTAAAGAAAAGCACTTTATGAATTTACAAAAGAAAATAAAACTATCTATTGCATTTGGAATAAGAGAGAGAAAAAACAAGGAGAATGAATAACAGACATAAATGTGTTCCCCATCCCCAGTTTCAGCAATCCACATTTATAGACCAGAATGAGAAGAACGCAGTGTTATCTCTAACTCTGCCACACTAGTCATCTCACAAGAACAATGCACAAAATACACGGATGTTAAAATCCCCAAATCAATAGTATGGACGTGAATTTGACAATTCATTAGAAGTCTATCACACTATGCTATTGTAGTATTCACTCTGATGGAGGGGGACTAATAATAGGAAATCTATTAATGTAATGTATTATACATCCATAGGCCAAATGGTAAAAACCTAATTATTTCAATAGCACTGAAAGACATTTGGGAGTGTTCAATTCTACATTGCTGGCTTTTTTTTAAAAAAAATTAGGACTCAAAGGATTTATTTAATATGATTTTTAAGCATCTCAAATCAGCAGTTGTCATCATATTTAACAAACATCAGAGTTGGTTTTTTTTTTTTTTTGCCTTTATAATCAGGAACAAACTAGACAGCCAACATCACCATTATTATTTAACACTATTTGAAAGTTCTGGCCATTGAATATGATAGAAAGTCAAAGACTTTATTTAAAATACCTAAACATTAAATCTCTGTAACTATTTTAAAAGCAACAAATACTCAAATTTTCCAGTAATACAGAATGGTAAAAAAAAATTAGTTTTCATTCTTATTCCATAAATTATGAAGTCATTCAAAGTATTAAACATGTTTCAAGAGTTTCTTATGATGGAGAAAAATATGTATCATTTCAACTCCATAAAATAAGTGTATGCACGTATACACAGAAAAAGAAGGGAATAATACTTCCTTGAAAGGAATTAATCAAAGCCATTATAGACTTTCTTTGGTGGATTAGAGATGTGTATATTTTCTTCTTTACATTCTTCTACTTTTCAAATCCATGCTGAATAATTAGGAAAAAAATACAAGTTGTTTGTAGAAAGAAATAAATTAGGATAGTGCCTATAGTCTTTCCTTGTTTATTATCCCAAGAGGCAGCCATCTCTTTAAACACTGGTTTGTAGGCCAGGGTCAACATGTTGGTTTAAACAAGGTTCAAGTATGTAGCAGTGAGGGAGGACCCATACACCTTTTCTATCTTTTCTTTCTCCAGCACCTTGCAAAACACCTAGAAGTAACATGCTCACTAGACATGTTGGCTGATTGTGTGTTTGTTTGTTCAGTAATTAAATAAATAGGTATGCACAAGAAAGCTCTGGAATAATAACAATAATTTTATTTCAGAACTACCTCTGCTTCTTGACATACTATTCATTTTGACATCAGAGAGAATTTAGTTTAATTTGAACAGAAAGAGGTCCCGTAGAAACAGCAAGTGACTGCATTATGTTATTCATACAAATCAGCCTTTGCTGGATTATAGGTTGAGAACCCTTCTCACCATTACAATTTGCTTGACTTAATTTGAACAGGGTGTCACGCAGTTGCTGGTGACGTGGCGTTCATATTAATTTCTGCAATGCTGCATCAGAATTCATAGGTTTTGCCACGATAATCAGTGGCACCTCTGAGATGCTGCTCAAAAGTAATGGAATTTTTTTTGAAAATTGACTTGGCTGCCTGCAGAGACACATGGGAAAAAACAATCAGTGCACTGAATGGATATATCTCTTAGTGAGAAGATTGGCAAGAACAACAATATATTAGGGATTTAGTCTGGGGAAAGAGAGATCATTATGTCATCTGGTCTCTTAAATAAACCCATAAAATAGGGTCTTTTTTCTTTTCTTTTTCTTTTTTAAGCTACAGAATGTTTCAGATGAGGAAACTGTCCCTGTTTGGGCAAGTTATTAAAACAGTGAGTAAAGGTTTTCTTCTCGGAGGTTAGGGTTAGGAGTATGTACTTGAACGATGCCACTGCAAATCTTGAGGAACAGAGTTCTGAATAGTGGTGATTCTGAGGGGAGACTGCATGAGGGAGGCTACTTGGAATGCTGGAAACATCCTCTAGCTTGATCCAGGTGGCAATTACATGGAGTATACAAATGTAAACATTTATAAATGTAAACATGTCTCAAGCTGTACATGGAAGATCTGTATACCATACTGTATATGTGAATTATGCCTCAATAAAATAAAATGGAAAAAAGTACTCTGGGCCAAACACTGTCCATTTGTAACCTCTGGCTTGCATAATTAGTATATCAGTGTACCCCCACCCCAATGCTTTGTGTTCAACATGGGGCTTCTCAAAAAATAGATCTCCCCCATACCTCCCAAAATTATAGTAAGCCTACAGCATAAAACATCCTACGGCTGCTCAAATCAAGTGGTGGAGAGGTTGGAGGTATACACCAGAAAGGACCATTTGTCTTTTCATTAATGTTGGGCTCACTTAACCACTAGATGGCACATGGTGCATGTACAAAGATTGCTCCAATAGGTCTATTCTGCCAGAGTCTTCTGCCAAAGTGTGGATCCCAGCATAGAAATCACTTGATTGTCAGGTTTCACTCTCCCTTCTAAGAATCCTAAGGAACAATGGAATGAGGAGGCTCCAGTGGCGTTCCTTCCTGCATGCTTCTGATAGAAACGGATTCCTGCGGGGCAAAGCTGAGCTCCATGCAATTCGCTGGTGATGTGCAGGTCTCCTGGAGACCACCCCAATGGCTTAGCCTTGATGGGTTATTTTAATGGATGTTTAATGATCATAAGAATTTGACTATGCCCTATAGTTAAATATTTTTGTTCATGCTTACCTTTTATGGATACTTCATATTAAATTTGATCATCACAGAATTACTATATAGGCTATGCGGGGTGTGGGGGGATGCATACATTTATGCAGAGAAGTTTACAACCTTTTGCTTTTAAGCAAAGAAAACACAGAGCAGTCTCATTTTGCTATGCTATTTAAGGCCATGCTCATTCACATTCTAAGCATCAATACATCTGCTTTTCCCTTAAGCCTGAGAATTCAGGATGTCTCATGTCATACAGAACAGTGCAAAAGGACCTTCAACGGCATCTCATTCTGAAAAACTAAAACCAATGCTTAATTTCTTCCTTCTAATCTGACCTGTCAACTCAAAGTTTAAATTTCATTATCTAATTTAATATATAAAGTTAGGTGAACATTCTCATGTTCAGTGGATGCTTATGACGAGAGCTTCCTTTGAGCTTTGGTTTGTGTGTTTCTGAAATGATCTATGTAAAAACCACAGATATTAGACTCATAGCAGATATCCAAAGAGAGCCAAGATTGCTTCTCTAGGACAGTCAGGGCCAGGGTCTCACTTTGAGAAGACCAGTGAGGGTACACTAAAGGCAAATTTGCTTTGCAGTCAAAATTAGGGTGTTCTTCACTTCAGAGCTTTTGGATGGTTTTGACTTTGCTTTCCCAGACAGGCCTCAATGTATTTCATGATGTGTGTTTCTCTGGCATATGTTTTCATTTGACCACACAAAACAAATGAAAAGTAGTTTCTACCTCAGGGTATCCATAATGTACTGGCATGTTTTGTTCATTTATAAGTAAAGGCTGATAGAAAAGCATCTAAAGTTTATTCTGAAAAGAAACCATAGGCACTTAACATCTGATAAAGAAGAGTTAGGTATGGGTGGCCAGTTAGCTTAGTTGGTTAGAGCGTGGTGCTGATAACACCAAGGTTGCTGGTTCGATCCCCGCATGGGCCACTGTGAGCTGTGCCTCCCTTAAAAGAGTCAACTATGCCATCGTAGCATGAAAGCAATGTGCAACCAATGACCATGGCTATTCCCGAATAAAATTTAAAAAATAGAGTCAGGTAATTAATTCACTGTTATAAATAGTCCTCTTTGGGCTTTTCTAAGGTAGTTGAAGCTC